ATTATCTTCCTACCACTTCCCTAAGCTTCTTATGGAAAATTTAACAAGTCATATTTGTCCAGAGTTATGATACAGTGTTGCCACTCGCTTATAGTTGGAATAAATTTCACGTACGCCTCAAACGAGCTTGTCTGTGCCATCCTGGGTATGACTATAAACTACATCCGCGTCCAGGGTGAGACGATTAACTACGTCCAACAGGAAGGCCTCTTATCACGAAGCTTTGAGGAGCGTGGAACCACCTCTTTATTTGCTGGTGTTCCCATGTCCACCCTGATCCGTGGTGGTAGCACCTGTTAGGGTCCCAGCTATGGGCAAATAGTTAACCCTGAAACTGAGGTAAAAAGCATTATGTAAGTGTAAAAATAGGTTTTAATACCAGAAATATTTTGTAAAAAATTATTACCAGAAATAAATTGTTGAGGAAAAAAAATCACCAGCAATAAGTTTTTAAAAAAAAAAAAAATTACCAGCAATACGTTTTTGAAAATAATATTACCAGCTACCTATACAATTTTCAGGAAAAAAATATTACCAGAAATAGATTTTTGATAAAACAAAAATATTACCAGGAACAAAAAAGTTGTTGGCATTAAATGACTCTTTGAGGTTGGTATGCTGCAAAAAGAAAAAAATAATAATAAATAAAGAAAGAAAAAAATAAAGAAAAAAAAAGAAGAAAAAAACAAAAAAACAAAAACAAACCAAAACTTGTCTGAGATTCTATCTCAGGCTACATTAAGTCATGATACAAATTTTCTTTTTTAGGTTAATTTTGAATTTAGTGTAAGTCTGACAGCTGATTTGTTAATCAGGGTTAACCCACAAGCCTCATTTTAATTCTGATCTTGTGTTTTCTCCTCATCTCTTCTCTTTCGAAATAAAGTGTGGGTATTTTGCTTTTGAAATTAAAAATAATCGTTTACCCACCAGTTGTTTACCGTCGCCTGAAGAAGTATAACTTAGTGCAGAAACACAACAGCTGTAGTGTAGTGATAATCTTTTATAATAGATAATTGCTTTTGTTCGGACAAGTGTTTCCTTTTTCTGTACACAAACTGTGTAAAAACTGTCGAAATGTTTTGCATTTCCGAGCGCTTTCGGGTATAATTTTAGCGATTATCAAGGATGATTTTATTTTTACGTTTTAACCGAATGCATGATTTGCGTGTATTTATCTAGAGTTATGGCTATGGTGATTTTCTAAGCCCGGCTTAGATGTGGCACAAGGCCGAAAGTATGGGGCACCCAGTAAGGATCGAACTCACTACTCAGTCGTTATTGGTCTAGCAAGACAAGCTTTCTAACCATTACACCACGCCGAGGTGCCCCTAGAGTTATGGCTGTTTTATTTTCCAAAACTAGCACCCATATAAACGAATGAACACTTCAAGTGCAAATACCACCCACTAAAAATACTCAACTTTTTTTATGGAAGTAGACATAAGAACAAATTTAAAAATTCCCTAAAAAAATTTTTTTTTTTTTGAGACGGGGTGCACACTTGAGGTGCTGATTCGTTTATATCAGTGCTAGTACATATGGGTGTACATATATTCGTGTGTATGCATATATAGATGTATGTGTGTGTGTGCATGTGTGTTTACATTGCGTATCTCACGGTTTTGTACTTTTTTGTGTGTTTCTTAAAATGTAGTTGGATCTATGTCTGACCGTCGATGTACACAGCATTTATGATTATAAATAACCATCTTTTGTATTAATTTCCAACATTATCTTAGTTTGTTATGCTTATTTTACTGTTTTATTATTTATCTGTATTTAAAATCCTTTCATATATGCTTGATATTATAATTATTGTAATTTTTATTTATTACTTGCATAAGGGGCCATTTTTATTTATTATTTGTATAAGAGGCCATTTTATTTATTATTTGTATAAGGGGCCATTTTATTTATTATTTGTATAAGGAACCATTTTATTTATTATTTGTATAAGGGGCCATTTTATTTATTATTTGTATAAGGAACCATTTTATTTATTCTTAGTATAAGTCACCATTTTATTTATTATTTGTATAAGTGGCCATATTATTAGACTAACTAATTTGGAATTGGGTTGAATTGCCCTGCCTAAAATATCAGGCCATATCGGATTCCAGTCGAATCCTTACGTGCTAATACTCTTGGGCAAGGTATAAATCCTCAACTTCTTCTCCCAGTTATGGGTAAATAACAAAACAGAGTTCTATAGCCTTGAATGGCAACTGGTCTACCGCAGAAAGAAATGGCAACCTACTGCAGAAAAAAAAAATCCTGCCTCGTCAGTAATGTATTGAAAGATACATGATCACCTAAGCATGTATCCC